CAGGTGGAGATGGAGGATCACTAACTATACTGTCATCTTGGCTAGTCTGGCGCTTCATAGCTTTCTCCTTTATGATCTTCTTCTTAAGCCATTCATAACCTCCACGAGACGTCACAACATAGGTTTCATTCTTTGCCTGAGTCTCTTGTGCCTTCTTTCTTTTCTCCTACAAAAGTATCATATAATGAAATTAAGGGTAAAATATAATATTCACAACTACACAAATGGTAATGCATATAATCCTAACTTACCAAAAACTCCACACTCATTCTAGACTCTATAAATGTGTTCCACGTCTCTTGGTCTATAGTGGGATTTTTATCACCAGGAAATTGTCCTTTCTTTTCACCAAAAATATACTTGTTTGTGAGGGTAGTCTTATATTGCCTCCACCTCTCAGCCACAATGGAGAGGGTCTTCCTTCTCATCCTCTTTGTGTTGGGAATGTCCCAAGTTTCCTACATTTAAATTAACAACGAGTTAATACATATTGAACTCCCAAATTCATCACCGATATTGTTACTCCTACCTTGCAAAGCAACTGACCACCTATTATTAGATGGACCAGTGACATAAAATACTAGCTTTACTTGAATAGCCATGATGAAAGGCTCTTCTTTATGACCAACTTTATTAAGGTCCACCAAAGTAAATCCAAATTCATCAATTTTGACACCACTATTACTATCAACCCATTTGCATTTAAATACAGGGAATACAATAGAATATCTAGATGGATTAAATAAATTCTTAGATTTTTCTTTTGAAAATCGATATGTCAATGGTGCAATAAGGTGTCCATGTCCTAAATGTCATTTTAGTAAATGGAAAACTAGAGATGTTGTGTTTGACCACTTGATTTGTAAGCAATTTCCAAAAAATTACAAAGTTTGGATATGGCATGGTGAAGCATATGAAACAATGGCATCAAGGGACACTGAAGTAATAGATGAGCCATTTGAAAATGAAAATCCAGTGTTAAATATGATAAATGATGCATTTGGGATCAATAGACACACTAATGTGGAACATGATATGTATGAAGGACCATCTCTAAATTGAAACTAATTAATTAATTTGGGACCAATTTGAGATCAAAAATTAATGAAAAACTAAATTGAAACAAAAAAAAAATTATAAAGGACTAAAATAAGGTTTTAGCAAGAAAAATTTTAGTAAGCAACGTTGTGTACTCACCAACAACAACAATATAAGCTACTTCTATTAGAGGTCCTCTTAAAAAGTAGGCCTAGTCACGTGTACCGACCCACGTTTGCAGTTGCTACTCTGTTATGGCACAGGATGGGGCCCACCGTGAAATAAGTAAAACAAAATATCTCACAAAAGCATAAATCACTTCACTTGCTTCTGTCAATGCTTTCATGGTAGCCTTCTCATTCGCATCAAATGTGGTGGTCATTTGCATGGATGACTATCTTTGTGAAAATATCTAAGTGCATTCTATTCAGGTCTAAGAGATTGGGAAATTGGTTAACTATCTTTGTGATTAAATATAAGGTCAATTTTCACAAGTCTTTTTCTGAAATGGTCATGGTTATATAGAATAAAGTTTATTGCATATATGATATTCCAAAAGAAAAGAGTCTTACATTGCTTGAACCACTCAAGTATAAAGATTTTATATATCAAAATGCTCCTTACACTTTTAAAGAGACAAACAATGAGTGGTGAGCCCGCGCACATAAAAATCAGCTTTGTGAGTCTGTTGTAGTTCAAACTTGTCGGTTTGCCCCCCCCCCTTCCTCTTCACGTGCGAAAATGATATATGGAAATATTTGTTATTTTGATTACATTAAATTATCTTTTATTATAATTAATTAAGAAAACTTTATTCGAAAATGACAGTTTTTCACATTTTAAATTCAAATTTGATTCTGTCATTAAAATCTTACCGTTACAAATTCAGATTAATTTTCTTTAATTACCGAATTAATTTTCTTTAATTATTCAAATTTATTTTCCTTAATTATTCAAATTTAATTTCTTTAATTATCGGATGCCTCACGTGATTTTTAGGATTTTTGAGACTCTATAAATAGAGGCCTCCTTCACACTATTTTTCATCCCAAAATATTTCTTTCTCTCCTTCTCTCTGAGTTCTCAGCTTTTGCGATTGCCAGTTTTGTTCCTCAAATATTTGAGACGACCTCATTGTATCCTGGGGGCTTGCGTGTATCTCGCGGATAAGTCTTTAAGGTCAGTGCTATCACACGCCTCGGGAGAATTTTTCTAACATGTTTGTTCAGTGTTTCAGGTTCCTCATACCTGCGTCTGCCATTTATAAACAACAAAGTCTACTTTCAAAGTTTCTTGTAACTTTGAGTGAGAAAATTTGACTCACGCACAAATTTGGACCAAGGTTCAAATTTGGCATATCCATATAATCAAAACAATCATCATCTTGACTATTTAATATATGATCATCATAGTCAACTTATAATCACAGTCAACTATATTACAGTCAACTTAGAAATAGCTGTACATATGCTAAAAATGTACAGCTATTTCTAACCCAAACTTGGTAACAAGTATAATAGATATATTAAGCAAACTCACTATTTTTTTTATACGGGGCCATTGAGTTCAAAAAAGAACCCCATCACTGTGTTAGACTTCCAAATCTTAATTTACTATGATTCAATATAGCATGTAGCATGGCACAAAATTAAAAACCAATGCCAAATTGGAGAACAAGAAGCTATTTCTCATGAACTGTTGCCTTATCTCCACCCAAAGTGATTTCCAGTGGTTGATCATTGGGATTTTCAGCAAGGACTTGTTTGTCATCACGCTCAGTTTCTACAAAATTTTCTTCTTTGTCTGCTGTTGCTCAGTTTCTCATGAACCGTTCCTGTTATTATCTTTTATTGTGTTCTCTACGTTTGTATTTCATCACCCGCAACTAACAAAAATATTTTTGTCTCAATTACTTTAATCACTCTTGTATGTTTTATGTTTATATGTATACTTGATTTTCTTAACCATGATTTTTTTTATATATACATTTAAATTGAGTTTCAGAATTTTTGCTTATAAGTTTTATATAATTTTAACAATGTAAAACAATACATAGCAAAGTTATTAATATCATTATAAATTTTGAAAGATGGTCAATCTTAAAATCCTGAGTACATAAATTACTTGGTGCTTACAAAGTTACAAAGAAGAGATGTCGTAGAAAAGGCAAGTAAAAGAGGAAGCAAACACACCGACAGGTTGTTCAAAACAGTATTTTGTTTTCCGCGACGATGGGATGGCAACAATCTCCACGTGTTATCTCCATCCCTTTCATAGTTTCATTAAATTCATCACAATTTTGTTTCTCTAGAACACACTTATCTTTTTAATTTTTGTGCTTATGTAGTTTCAAAGAAGAAGCTCTAAATCATTTGTTTTAATTTCGGGTGTTTTTATTATTATTTAGGTTCATCATTGATGGAACACATAAGGCAAAATCAAAGGCCTCCCAAATCACAGGTACTGCATTGTTAGAGGAATTGCTAAATACAGCATAATTTCTTGCCTTCAGGTTGTCAATTGTGTCCACTCAGGTTGTCAATTGTGTCCACATAACTTTGTACACGAAGAACCTGTGTACAACGACTTAAATGTGAGCACCTTTCACCATCACTTTGGAACTGCATTAAATAATTAAGTGGTGGCAACTATTTTTTATCATCTACTCATTAATAAAAGAGGAGTTCTTGTATGAAAACAGTATCAAGAAACACAATAACTAATCCAAAACTAAGATATTAAAAGAAAAAGTGAGAAAAAATAGCATATTGACAGACATTAAAAGATGTCACAGTAATTCTTAGCCCAAAAGGGTGAAATTCATTCTTCAGAAGAACAACAACTTTGACTAGTTTCTGGTATGATAATAATTTATTATGTTGCCTAATTAAATATTGATTGAACCATTAAAACACGACCTCTAGCTCTTGTTGGTTCAGTCTTTGGTCTTGTTTTTGAAACTTTGCAGGTAAACAGCTATTAGTCTAGTGAATTTGATGAGAATTGACAAGGTTCTCATGTACAAAGCATCTATAGTTTAGATCACTTCTTTTCATTCTTTCATAAATATCATTTTGGGTGATTTAAAACAGATGAGCGTAAATACATTTTATTCTTTTTATAGGTAAAATATCAATGTATTTATTTAATTCATGTATGTCAATTTTTAATTAATTTATTTGTATACAAATTTAAACTAAAGTAAGTTCTTGTTCTCTTTGATTAACTAAAAAGTTTTCCCAAATTTATTTCATTTACATTATATAAGTGTTTCACTTTAGGTAATTAGGATTTGTTTTAAAATTACTTATCTAATTCTTTTTTATATATATTATAAATTACTTATCTAGTTTTCATTATTATATGTCATTTTTTAAATTAATTTATTTATTTAGTTTTCATTTTTATATATGCTACTTTTTAAATTTTTACTTATTTAGTATTTTTTTCTTCTTGAACCTAATCAGATGGATGTAATAATAGATAAATCATAAATTAATATGTCAAGGAATATAATAGAATATTTAAATGAATTAAATAAATTATGCTTATGACATTTTTCAAAATAATAACCCGATTCTGCTAACAGGGTTCATGCTAGTGTATCAAGATTCCAATCTAAATGCATGTTATTATTGCTTCATGTTTACAGTATATATTGTTGACCACGATTAGATTTAACATGAATGGTTAATCTATGCATTTGAGCATATATTTTTCCATTCAGTCCAAAATTTTAAAGTCCACTCATTGCGGGTTTTCCAAGGCTTGTACAGATCGGAAATCTCGGGTGTCAGCGCATTGTATCTCAACACAATCAGTCATATTGATTGTGTTGTACTATAAAGCACTTATTATTTTCGGGTAACAAAGGTCCAGAACCTGACCTTTTACTGATTTATGGACACGTGATGTGATGAATGTAACTTGAGTTGTTTTATATATTGAGAAATGAAAAAAATAATTTTTAGTGTGTTATGTTAATATCAAGCAACTAAAACAAAAATTTATTTTAATAATAAAAAATTTTAAAAATTTTAACTTTTAAATTTTTTTTTAAAATTATTTATAAATTAAATTTAAATTTTATTAAAAAAGATAATTACATTACAATAAAAAAATAAATTATGAAAAAAAAAATATAATAAGTAAATATTAAAAATAAAATAAAATAATAATAAATATATAAACATTATACAAAATTAATTTTTATTTATTTTTTATTTTTATTTTTTATTTATTTAATTTAACGTCTTTTTTTTTTCTTTTGAGAGTTTTTTTTCTTTTTGTTCACATTTCATTTTCTTCAACTCTTTCGTCAAACTCCTTCTACCGCCTCCACAGCGTGCCAGGTTCAGGCCGAGGCTCGCAAAGCTAAGGAAACAGTCCGCATCGCAGCAAGCTAGGTCTCGTGGCAAAACGTCCACTACCGTTGACGATGGCGTTGTCGGCTCCGATCAGGTCCTGCGGTGCGCGCCTTCGCCGTCCAATCCCGTGTCTCCGTTCAACTACTGCCTTACCACTGCACCTCCTTCCGTTCACAAAAATAAGGAACGGTTGCTTCACTAAGCCACCGTCTCTTTTTGGCAAGAAATTCCTGATGCCACGTCACACCTTTCTAATGATAAGAAATTGAGGTTGGAGTTGCTTGATAGGTCAAGCAAACCCCATTAAAATTACTCTAAGGAGCCATCTTGGTTTTCCTGCATGGAGACTTCCTTACAAAGAGATCAAATGTTTATGATTAGAATAGTGCAATAATCAAATGTTTGTTTATTGGCATGAAGTGAAGCTATGGTTGTTTATAGAAGCTAAAAGCAGTAGCTCTAGCTCTGTTACATGGTCTTCCTGTTCTGTATTAGGTTTTAAACTTGGAAGAGCCTGTTTGATTTATCTGAAAAATAAATTACTATGTAAATGAAATTGGTTTACATCTCAAGTGTCAGTGAATATATTTGGATTGGATCCGATTTAGTTTCTCATTATTTGCTTTATGTTCCTGTCTCTTTTTCTTAGAGTCTCTTCAGATAAAAAATTTCATAAATATTTCTAAAGAAAAAAAAATGAAATAAGTTTCTCCAACAATTATATATAAATTATACATAAGTTAATTTGTAAAAGTTTTCTCATATTAACTTCTTTAAAAGCTAATTTTTAGCTTATAGAGACCTTATTTAATTTTTTTTCTTTCTAAAAAGCTTACATATCCAAACATGCTAATATTTTCTGTCTGCACTTGTAAATCTGTTTGTAGACAGGAAGAGTAGTGGCTACCCCATAGTTATATTGCCGAAACATTAAGCCTTAAAAGTGAACTTCCTTGCATCGCATAGGTTAAGTGGTATATGATGTGAGGGCCTACTTGTTTATAATTCTCACTTGATAATACGCCTATAAGACAGTTTCTTTTTTCTCTCTGTTTTTTCCCCCTTTGAATAGATTCTGACTGATGTTTGTGTTTATTACTAGACATATGGGATCATTGAACTTCATGAGATATGGTTCCTAAAGAAAAGCTATTTACAACTACACGAAAGTACATCAAAATTATGGCAAGTTTTCTCTTTAGAGTCATTTACTGGTCTTCTATGGTTTGACCCCCAACAAACTAGTAAATTTCCTACAGTTATTTTTACTATTAACTGGACTTTGCTTTTCACGTGTCTGTATTCATAACTAAATATTAGTTCAGCCCATTGTCCAAAGGCAACATTATATAACAGTACGGAGATGTCTTTCAATATCCTGTAATATGTGTTTGTATTTATTTCTCCTGGAGGGCTAGGATCCAGTTTTAGGCTTTAGAAAACTAACATGGAGATAATTGCAATATGTTTTCATTCTTTCTTTTTTATCCCTAACAGATTCGTAAAGAAGGAATTTGGAAGTAGTTGACAAAGCAGCACAAATCACACGCACGAAGAATAAAAAAACACTTGGCTATATCTTTCTGGATAAAGGGCTTTCTCGCTAGTAACGTGTAAATGTGTCAGAATGAGATAGAATTGTATGTCATGACTTAATTTTACTAACTGTTTATATATATATATATATATATATATATATTATATAACAAGCTTCAACACCCACTATCCATCACCACAAAATAAGAAAGACTAGAGAACTATTTGTTCTTGTATCTGATTCCTTATGTTACTTATATTTTTGGTACAAGATGCTTGCCCTATTGCACTACATAATCAGATATTAAGAGGTAAACCAGGTGAATCACACCTTGGAAAACTAAGAGGCAAGGGTACACTTGTTGATTACAATGGGTGATATTAATAGTTGTCCATTACTGGAGGCAGACTTATTATCTGCAGTGATGGTGTTTGGGATGCTCTACCTGCAGAAGTAGCCCTTGATTGTTGTTGTGGAATGTCAACCGAAGCTGCTGCACCACAAATTGTTAAAGGGAGATTAATGTGCATCTTTTGAATCATTTTGTGGGTTGATTGAATATTGTAAGGTAGTTTTTAAAATTAATTACGTAAATACGGTTATTTTGAAATTATTTATGCTTTTAGAACATTTTACTACAGTGTCGTTATGGTTCATAGTGACGTTAGTGCCACGTGTAAATTTTTTTTTGTAACCGAGAATAACTTGAATTTAGCGACTTTACCAGTGTCGTTATCAGTTCCTTCACCATTTAAAATGGCTCAATTTTATAAAAAATAAATTCTTTTCAAAGAAATAAAAAAAAATATTTTAAAAAATATTTATTTTAAGAGTTGATCTTTTAAAATATTCTTATAAATTTTTTTTAAAAAAACAAGATTTTTTAAAAATAACTCAAAATAGTTCGGGGTCAACCAAAAATAAATTAAAAGTATATTTTAAGATAAATTTAAATAAAAAACTTTAGATTAAAAAGACGGCATTTTTATAAAAAAAATTAAAAAACTGAAAAAAAATGAAGTAAAAAATATTTTTTTAAAAAAATTCATAAAATAAATGTGGAAAAAGAAAAAAGAAAAAAAAAAAAA